TCTGAACAAAGTCAGATCTAGCAGGCACAACATGTGACCCAGTGATTGTTGTATCATTTAGGCCATCTAGAAATGGAAATTCTTTCTTTAGGAGAAGCTGCCCTGCATGGATTTCTGAATCTGTTAGCCAGCTGGTTTTGTTGAGAATACTACTTTTGCTTGCGTGATCAAGAATTAGTTTAGATTCAGGATCATCAGGATTGCAATTTTCTAATTTCACCCACAATGGAGGATCAGGAGAATCATCATTGACAATAATTACAGGTGATTTACAGGAAGGGATGACTGGATCACAGGGACTGTTGTAGTTGTGCTCATCTGTGTTTTCTTTAGCTGATTCACCAGATTCATTCAGGAGAGTGTGCTTCTGTGGAGCTGACTGTGGTTTTGAATTTTCTGTGGGTGTAGGAGTGGGAGCATCATTTATGCCATTGGAAGAGGATGTTTTGCTATTCAGTGTCGGCACATTCTGGGGTGGTTGTCCCCAGTCTCGTCGTTGTTTCTTAGCTGGTGTGGAATATTTGAGGCCTGATTTGTTTTTCTTTTCAGACTCTTTTTGGTTTGGGTTTTGTCAGAGGTACTAGAGGCACCATTCACAGGGACATTCACTTTGTAGTGCTTTTGCATCATAGATGCAAATGCCCCAACTCTGTTTTTGTACCGGTTTTTCTTGGGCCGCACAGGTAGTGGAAGGTAATGCTCAGCAGATGATTTACCATTTGACTTAACCTGTTTGTTGAGCAATGTCTGTGGAAAGTTTTCCTTTTCATCAATTGTTTGGCATTTTTTAAACTTGTTGACTAATAATTCCAGAGAAGTATTAAGTTCCTTAAGGCCATTTAAATTTTCAATGTTGTATGTTATTGATGTTAGCTCTTTTAGTTTCTCTCTACACACCATTGCTTCCTGCCTTATTGGGTCTTCAGGATTTCTGGTTCTCTGCCTGGGTATGCCAGTTCTTTGACCTTGTAGATCCCTTTTAAGATTTTCGCCAATGCCATTATTTCCTTCCTCAGTGGACTCATCGGTAGCTTTATATTTATTAGCATCAACAAAGACATGTTCCCAGTCTAGTGAGATGTGAGGGTTTTGTCGGAACTTTTCTGGTAATGCATCCCACTGCCACATTGGATACAGGTCAAATATTGCAAAAAAATGCTTACATAGCAGCCCAGTGTGGCAAAAATCAGGACAGGTACATCTTGGCATGATATTCTCAGAACCAAAAGAAAGATCGTACCAAACTTCATCTGTCTGGGACTGGACTTTGAAATTTCCGCCTTCTTCTTCTCTGATGTGTTTTGATTGAACTTCGCTTGCATGTTTTATCCGCTTCTCACAGTGGTTTAGGAAAGGTCTTGGTTTGTTGTGCAGGTATTTGGGTAGGGTCAAGCTGTAACGCTTGTAGCCTCCACTAAACTTTGTGTTTAGCTCCACATACCTAACAAAAATAGAAAGAGAGAGGAAAAAGGTTGACATGCAAGCTGCTTAGATGGAGAGATCATCGCTTCCGATTTACTTAACGTTTTGATAGAATATGAATTGCAAGTTTGTAGAGGTATTGTTGTTGGGCCATTATTCTCAAATAGCTAAGTGAGTGAAAAAAAAAAAAAGAGGGGACGAGGGGAAAGGCTCATTTTTTTTCCATTGACCACCCACTTTTTCATTAGCCCCCGACTATTCAATAGCTTGAAACTGGCTATCTCTTTGCTCATAAGAGTCAAGTGACCTTGTCAATAATAATGAAAAAATATTGTGTTAAAAAATAGACTAATTCCTCGAAACCCCAAGAGCATTCAAAAATACAAAATGGCCAAGTTTTAGGGGCCTGACATTAGAGAGTGATTCTTTGTCGCAGTCTGAATTTTTGAGAAATTTTAAGGTATTGTATGAGATTCAAAAAATTCAAACACACTGTCATAAAAACTTCACTCAAACTGTGCAATTGTGCTTTTTTTTTGGTCATGATAAAGTGATTCCCCACCTCAAAATGGTTAATAGTGATGTTTTGTCTGTCTTTGACAGTTACTGTACCTTCTGTATTTGTCTGGAAAATACTCCTCAGTCACTACGGTAATCATCCCGCTAAGGCTGTTGTTCAAATATTGGTATTTCAACGATTCATTCTGGCGTTCAGTTCCATTGTTGGTGTTGATACTGACCAGGAATCTGTCCTGCTTAAATGCCCACACCCATCTCTGTAACAGAACAGGTTACAGGAAATTTAATCTTTTCAAAAGTATTATATTTCTCCCTTGCTGCATGCTTGGGCATCATATGTTTATTGTGCCAAATTTATGACATAATAAATAATTACAAAATGAATCAATAAATCACTAATACAGTATTCAAATTGTTGTTGCTGTGTTACAAAAACTTGTAAAAAGTCACACCGTGCATTGTCTCCTTCAGGCTTTTAGATATTAAATAACAAGCCAATGTCGGCAATGACAATCCAACAGATGTGTACCTTATCAATATTGTCAATAGGTTTTTTTAATATCAAACTGCTAGTAGACATACGGACAATACTATGCTCTGTGGAAAACACCGACTGAGAATGGTCCTGCACTATTTACTGAAAGTGACAGAGAAAACCCAAGCAAATGTTTGATGTGTGTACACTACTTACCTTGGCCTCTACCAACCAGGTTTTTTCAAACCAATTTCTAAGCTTGGGATTGGATAACCAAAGGTCACTCTCCTTAAGTGAGGACAGATTGTCTTGAAATGCTTCCTCTGTTGATGATTTGGCAACATTACGAAGCAGACTTAGGACCTCCTCCCTGCTCTCTGACAAACCATTTTCAGTTTTTCTCAGCCATCTCTCCCAGCTTTGTTCTCAGTGAAAGTCACAGATATATGTTGTGGTATCTATTAAATAAAAAATTAACTTCATAAAATCTTTATTTGGATACAATTTTTGTATTTTTTGAAAATATTGGAAACCTATAAGTAAAACCTTTTCTTTATGACACTATATATATGAACTGGTTGGTTATGATTAATGGTAAGCCATCCAGATTAAACAATTCTTATTATCTCCAAAGTTATAATAACTGTTCTACATGTTAAACCACATTTAACCATATTTTTTAATTTAGTCTCTAAAGTAGGTCTTCAACAAGGGGAAAATTGCCAAAAAAAAATATGCAGTTAGCCCTTGTGGTCAGCAAATGTATAAGGATGCTCTTATCAGCCACTCACATCAATTGAAGTCTAAGGTTAACATATATTTTATTGAAACATTCTTACCTGGGAATGTGCTCTCAATGGCATTAATCTCCTCCTGGCAAAAGTCAGTCATAAAATATCATGGCTTCCAGCTTTCATTCCAATCTCGAAAGATTTCCAGTGCTTCCTGAATGGAAGCTGTTGTTTCCCTTTGAATTATAAAACATCCCACAACCGTGTAGTTAACATTTGTCTTGACAACCAGAAGAAATAATGGTAGGTCATATCTCATTGTCTTGTAGGTTGCATCAAGGAGGGATATTTCATTTCCATAAAGATTCATAAGATGTTTCTGCCAGGCTGTTTGATGTGCAAAGAGGAGTTCTTCAGTCTGCTCACAAGTCTCATCTGTTTCACTTCCTGTTTCGGCAGTAGCTGAGGTAGACAGAGCACTGGGTCGAAAATAGAACGAGTCCTCAGGATGCTCCTCACGCCAATTTTCTATTTTCCTTTGCAGGTTTTCCTGATCCACTTTGGACAGCAATTTTTTTACCGATGCCCGGTACATGTGGTTCCTGACATCCACATCTGTGGGATAGAAGCGCCTGTTTGTAATAGGAGGTGGAGTCTGCCCTGGAAAAGTTCACATTTCACAAACTGTTTAAGGTGTCTTTTCATTTCATCAACAGTTTTAACACCTTCACCAACAAGCTCTTCAATCTTGTCTACAAGCCGTTTGTCAATTGGTTGCAGAAGACCACCAACCTTATTTGTTGAAAAAGAAGGGAAAAAATTGTGTTAATAACTATACAAATATATAATTTAATATGTATAATTAATAATAATACTGAATGGTCGATGATCCGCACGAGGTTAAGCCAATATTGTGGAATAGTTGTCACTGAGCCTGAGTAGTAAGTAATAATTATTCTACTCAGGATGTCAGTGGCATCCGATTAGAGGTATATTGCTACTGACATGGGTACTTTAGATTACAGTTTCTGGTATCGACTTATTACACTTTGCATGATGACCTGACTTTCCTTTTAAATTATGGGCACAAATTAATCAGAATGAACTTGTTTATTTTGTTGATCCTGTCTTAAAATCAAAATACAGTTTAATAGACAAAACGGTAGATTAAGAAAGTAAGTGACAGTACAGAAAAATGTGAAAAGGATGATAGCATCAACATGACACAAGCATGAAGCAAAGAAACAAAGCTGAGTCCCTGACAGAAATTGACCCATGACATCCCAAACGTCGGGCAGAAACTCTTTCCAGTGAGCTACAAGAACTCCCGGAGAGCCAGCCCATTTAACATGCATCCTGCATGCATACTGCTAGGTTCAGCAGTTTTATTTCCAAGCTTAAAATTCACCATTGTCTCATTTATCAGTACAGAAAAATTTATAAAAATGATCTTAGGTTTACTTGTAAGACCATTCATCGGACGGGTGCTTAACAAACCTCGCCAGTGATATGGTCTTTGTGTTCATCCTCCTTTGGTAGGTAGATATAGATTCTACGTTCATATGGAGGTTTTTGTCCACTGTTGGTATCAGTCTTTAGCTTTTTGGACATGTCCCGTCGAAGTCTCTCTGTGTCATCCCTGATCTACTTGTAAAGAGTTATTGTTAACAAAACTTTTACTTGTAATTTAGTACAGACTAATAATAAATTATGAGTATTGAGGTTACTATACTTAAAAATATGTTGAAAACATCGCTATCAATAGCACACAGCAATAGTTATAGTAATAATAATAATAATCATCATCATCATCATCATCTTCATCATCATCATCATCATCATCATCTCATTGTTTACAGACTGAAGTACCTTGTAACTTGGATATGTAATAACTTCTGATAGACGAATACTTGCTGTGCACCCGAATTTCATGGTGTCTTGAGGTAAAAATCTCTTCTTTTTGAAGGAGTGATCGCCAGCCTGTAGTTAAGAAGAAATAATAATTATAATGTAAGAAAAGAAACAAACAAAAACAAAAGGTTACTTAGATGGGGAAGAAATAGATTTTTTTTGGAATTTTAATTTGTCAAAAACATACCTTCTCATTGGCTTGTCTTGCTTTGAATGCCTTTTTTCTGTCTGGACCATGTTGGCAGTCAAACACCTTTGAGCCAATGATACTGAAGGGCACTCCATCAAATGGGATTTTGTCATCTTTAAAATAAACTTTTTTTGGCTTGGCAAAGGGATCTGTGACAACATCCAAAGAAGGAATTTTTGTTTGTATTTTATTTAATGCACTGGTCATTTTATCAAGCATTTCTGTTCTTTATTTCAAAGATTAAATGACACAATTTGTTTCTTTTTTTTACCTGCTTCACCTTTATCTAATATTAATCCATAGCCCTCACCTGCTTAACCCAAGCACGTAAGCTACAGTTGAATCCAGCAAGAACCTACACATTTTTTTTCAGATCAGGTGAAATTCGTTCTTAATAAAGTCAATAAGCCTATATGACAATACAAACATCAGCTAACCTTAGTTGTAATTTTTAGACAGATATTACTGGACATCCCAGTGAGAGGGAGGGGGGGTTCTACTCAATAATTTTTTATATAGGGGGGGATCTGTCCAGTGGTCCAAACCCTTATCTTTTCATCTACTACTTTTGACCTGAAAAAGGTAACCCTTTCATGCACAGCCTCTCAACATTCATAGTCCACTATGGGAGTAACCTCCCCCCCCCCCTACACACACACACCCATAGGCGTATGGGCGCACCTCTCGGACTTGGGAAGGTGGTGACCTTTGTGGCGTTGTTTATAGGAAGAACAAGACACACACAGGTGAAGTAACACAAGTCTATTTAATCGATGTCCGACGAACTCTACAAAACCGGAAAGCATGGTCTCTAAAGTTTTGTTGCCATGGTAGTTATGACGTAAATGCGGACCGGAAGTAAATAGAACGATAACATCGATATCGTTACATCTCCCTTTCTTCAGGAAACAAAAAAAATGTAAACGTAACTGAGTGTCTCAATCCTAGTTTAAAATAAACTACAGAAAAAAAAAGAAAATTAAGAGTTTGTCATGTCCTTTTTTGTGTTCTTTCGATAACCCCAATCACTGGTAACGTGTGGGTGGTCGCACAATTCGTCCAGATCGAGTGGTGGTCACCGATGGGGAAATCTCCTGCTTATCTGCTGCAGACTGAGGTGGATATTCCGGATGTGGCTTGTCCGTGTTCTGCAAAGGTACTGTGTCTGATTGGTCCTTACTGACTGCAGTACTTGGTATGGAAGGTGGTACCGATGGTATTTCATTACCAGAATTTGCAGTAGCAGAAATTGGTGTTGCTTTTTGGGATAATCTCATCCCATCTTCACTGTGTGGCATCACTTCACGTGTATGTCTCAGGTGTCTGCGGTTCCTCCTATAAATTCTTCCATCTTCTGTTCTGACTTGATAGGACCTTATGTCGACTTTGCCTTCGACTCTTGCTTGGGTCCAATCCTTCTTCTTTCCCAAGTGGGATTTTAGTGGCTGCAATCGCACTGTGTCTCCTGGGCGCAGTTCCTTCAGTTCTTTGGCGCCTTGATTGTAGTACAGGGATTGTTTAGCCTTTTGTAGCTTCAACTTCTGATCAACCTCCTCTGGTAGCTTCGGCTTGAGCAATTGGTTTGAGGTTGGGAGTGGAGTCTTTGTTCTTCTACCGAATAATCGCTGAACAGGTGACGAGTTGAGTGTTTCTGTGGGAGTATTTCTCCAGTCCAGCAGGGCAAGATATGGGTCTTGTTCGGACTTGACGGCTTTCTCTAGCAGATGTTTTGCTGTCTTCACCGTGTTCTCGACTTTGCCGTTGGACTGAGGATATGTTGGAGAGCTTGTTATATGTTCAAAACCATAAGTGTCTGCGAACTGTTGGAACTTTGCGGAAGAAAAGGGCTGTCCATTATCCGATACAAGCTGGTCGGGAATTCCATGGCGGGCAAGATGGGCTTTCAACTTCTTCACAACTTCGTCTGCTGTCTTGCTTGTCATTCTGTCGACTTCAAAGAAGCTTGAATAGTAGTCAACGGTCACCATGAAATCTACACCGTTCAGATCAAAAAGATCAACTGCGATTTTCTCCCAGGGTCTACTAGGCAGTTCGTGACAAATCATTGGCTCTTTTCCTTGCTCGACAGGCTGGCTGTTGCAGACGGCACACTTTGCTACATAATCTTCGACATCTTTGTTCATCCCATGCCAGTAGACTACTTCTCTTGCTCTTCTGAGACAGCCTTGGATGCCGATGTGGCTCCGGTGGATCTTAGCCAACATGTCAGCTTTCACGCTCATAGGGATAACTAGTCTTTCACCTTTGAACACCAGTCCATTCTGTAAAGACAGTTCGTCCCGAAATGTAAAGTAACCACTGATGTTTGCTGATACCCCAGCTTTGGTAGCTGGCCAACCTTGCCTGATTGTTCTCTTCAGCTCTCTCAGGGTAGGATCGGATTCTGTTGCTTGCTGAATGGCAATCAGCGTTGGTTCCGATACTGGCAAGTATTGTATCATATTGATGTGCTCTAGCTCTCTTTCAGTGTCTCCTCTCATGTCCTCTATGTACATAACATCTTCTGCTACATCTTCTTTTTGTGCTCTTGCGCACTCTGTATGCTCTGCTCAGTGTATCTGCCAGATACATTTCAGTCCCTTTTTGTAAGACACTTGAAGGTCAAACTTCTGCAATCTTAGCAACATTCGCTGGAGACGTTTAGGCGCACTGGGTAGACTTTTACGGAAGATGCTCTCCAAGGGTTTGTGGTCAGTTTGGATCTTGACAGGTCGACCATATACAAACTGCTCAAAACGTTCTACTCCGAAAAGTATTGCAAGCATCTCTTTCTCTATCTGGGCATAGTTCACTTCCGTTTCTGTCATGGAACGAGATACATAAGCCACGGGCTGGCCTCCTTGCATTAGACATGCACCAAGTCCTCGGTCTGATGCATCACACTGCAATTCCACGTCGTCTTTGGGGTTAAAATACTTGAGGACAGGGGCAGCTGAGAGTATCTCCTTAACTCGCTTGAAACTACAACCTTGTACTTGCTCATCCCAACGGAACTGGTTCCCTTCTTTCAAAAGGTCTCTCATTGGGGATGTAACTTCTGACAGGTTAGGAGCAAACTTCTGGAGGTAATTTACCATGCCGAGAAGTCTCTTGAGATCTTGTTTGCTTGTCGGGGTTGGCATCTCTTTGATACCTTGTACCTTGTCTGGGTCAGGCTTAAGACCATCTTGACATATAACATGTCCCATAAACTTCACTTCTTTGCGACGGAGCTTAAGCTTCTCTTTGTTTAACTTAATGCCAGTAGCGCGGCAGCGTTCTAACAATGCTGTCAGCTTTGCATCATGATCAGAAAGTGCTTCTGTTTCTGTTTCTCCGACACCAAAAACAAGGATATCATCAAATATTGGCTTAATTCCATCAAGACCTTCCAGGGCGTATTCCAATCTCCTCTGAAACTCTTCCGGAGCGGGTGATATGCCGAAGGGCATCCGCGTCCAGCGGAACCTTCCCAGGGGTACCAAATGTGGTCAGAAGACTGCTTTCATCGTCTAGCTGCACATGCCAAAACCCGTTCTTTGCGTCGACGACACTGAAGACTTTAGCATTTGTAAGGAGTGGTAGTAGATCGTCGATCACTGGAAGGGGAAAATGATTTCTCCTGAGTGCTTTATTCAGAGGTTTTGGGTCAATACATAACCTTATCTTTCCATTGCTCTTCTTAATGACCACCATTGAGGAAATCCAATCTGTTGAAACATCTACTGGTTGCAAGATGCCTATCTTAACTAAGCGTTCTAGTTCCTGTTTTAAAGGCTTTTTTACTGCAAAGGGGACTTTCCTCACTGGCAGTGCCACAGGGGTTACAGACTTATCAATCTCGAGGTGAAGCTTTCCTTTGAGCTTTCCTTCTCCTGAGAAGACATCTCCGAATTTGCTCACGAGATCCGGCTGTGTGGGAATCTCATTAGAGAGAGACATGATGTTATCGGTGTTAATCACTATGAGGCCAAACTGCTGCACCGATTCAGCACCAAGGAGTGCTGTGTGACCTGTTGGAACGACGGTGTATTCCGTGAGGAAACACTGTCCATTCTTGGGGTTGAAGGTCTCGACCTTAGTACATCCTAGAGGTTTCAGCTCTGATTTGTTGAACATGACGAGGGTAGTTTGAGTAGGCTGAAGGCGTTCCATTCGCGGATCGTTAAATACCTGCTGATAAATATCTGCTGGGAGGATATTGACTGTTGCTCCACAGTCTAACTGGAATTTCACTGTTTCATCCCTCAAGCGCATGTTAGCATAAATCTTCTTTGGACTGTTTTTGCATAAAGGACGCTCACAGATTCTACACTGAATAAGTAATCATCAGAATCTTCGTCATTAAACTCCTGAACATCTTGTTCTACATTGTGAACTGACTTCTTAGTTTGCTTTTTTTTAGCTTTCTGACTTCTGCAAGCCACTGAGAAGTGGTTCATTCGACCACAGTTATCACACTTGTGCTGCCATGCTGGACAGAGTTCCTTTTTTAAAGGATGGGTTCTGTGGCAGAACTTACATCTAACTGGTTCTGTTACTTTGTTGTGGACGGGGCGTTGAACTTTACTGAAATTTCGTACTTCATTATGGCGTAAACCAATCTTCGATTTTGGGTGGCCTGTGGCAACGGCGCTAACCTCCTCCGCATGGGACATCTCCTTAAGTTGTTTGGATGTGGTTTCACTGCACGGCAAATATCAATACACTTATTAAGAGTTAGTTTGTTCTCAGCTAGCAGCTTTTTTTTCG